GACAGAACAGAATGCGTTCTTTTAAATATATGAGAAAATTAATTTAACCTCACCCTTTGTAAAAGAGAGTGATTTTCTTCTTTCTTTTTCATATGTAAGAAGGTAGGGATGGAGGGAATTAAGGAAATAAATAAAACCGAACAGCCAAGAGGAGCTGGTCTGTTCAGAATGAAGTATTAGTAATTTCCTATAATTTAATCAGACCAGATCCCAGAACAAGATAATGAGAGCGTGACCTACAAAAGAGAACTTTTTGGAAGTTAAAAGGTTTTCTAGCATGAGGTTTCATAAGCCATGTGATTTGTCATGAAGCACCATATATGAGACTTTTTTTGTTTTACCCCTCTTGAAAGAAATCAAGATCTAGACATCAGTTCAGATGTCTATGAAGAGGTAATTTGGCTTATGCCTAGAATCCCTTCACAGTTATGTTTTAGTTACGCTGCACAGTCATACTTGAGTGTATTTTGTAAATAATGATGATGTGCCCTGTTTCTGATGTACCATTTTCTGCTGCCTAGTTTGCCAAGTGTAGTACTGTAATGCAAACCATTTAGGTGTAAGTGTTCAAAACACTTCATGGTGTAAGGAGGCTGAAAGATCTCCTGATATATTTTATAAGAAAATGTTTGCAAATGCCTAGACTTCAAAGTAGCTAACAGTACATGATGAACCCCAGTTTGAGGGTTTTCTCTTTTATTTTTTTCTCCTACAAGCAAGTCTTTTATTTTCATGATAAGTTTGTAAATTAAATTTTTATGGTATGAAAGTACAGTACATGACTAGATGCTGAAGCAAAAAGTCCCAGGTAGGTGAATATTATCATTCCCTAAAGCCTACTTTTAGAGGGAATTTCTTCTACTAGAAAATAGTTTCATAAATTAAAATAATAAAACTTAGGCTTGATTCTGATCTTAGATACATGTTGCTGAGTATCTTGTAAAATCAGCTACTGGATCTACACACATGCAGTGCAGTGTAGCTGATTTTACAAAATGTTCAGTGATACACACCCAGAGATCTGAGATAAGAATATGTCCTTTATTTAGTAGCTTTCTTTTCACAGATTGACTGAGGGTCATAGTTAAATGCAGTAAGTGTTATGCTCCCAAGAGGCAGTTTTTCTTTTCCAGATGTATCTGTGTCAGCATGAATAGTCTGACTTCCTCTTGGGTCAAGACACTAAAGTTTTTTGGGTGCTTAATTCCAATCTCAGTCAGCTCAACAGAGGTGCAATCCTGGCCCTTGAAGTTCTTCCTACCCTACAGAGGATTTCCTGCTGTGCAAGGTGATTCGATTGAATAATAGACTCCCTGGTTAAAATAAACAAAATAAAATACTCCTTTTCTGCAGGACAGGTTGAATTTTAAGACTCCAGACTGAGAACCAAAGAAGAGGAAAAAGCAGACTTCATGAAGCAGGGCCTTTTCTCCTTTTGCACCAACACTTTGTCAGCACAAATGGAGTGGGAGAGTGGGTAGAACTGATGAAGACCCAAGAAGAGAAGTTAGGTGTTAGGACAAACTGTTTACAAGACCTGTGAGGAAACCAAATTCTCTTTTCCTTTGCTCCCTCCATCCCTGTCTCAAGTGCAGAAAAAGAGTAAGAATCAGGCCCTCAGTCACTAGTTGCCAGGTCTGCCTTTGAGATAGTGACCTAGATGTGAAATGTTCTGCCTGTAATTCAAAAGCCAGAGAAGACACTGGAACTTGCACGTAGGCTCCCATTCCCTATATCTGAAACGGGAGCAAATTCAAGGTCAAGGAAGGAGCTGGGAGAGGGCTCTTCAAACTTGTCAGTCCGGAGGCCTGGGACGGAGACACCAGTAGGCAGCAGGAGCCAGGTGAAGGGAAGCCTCAGCTGAGCAGGGCCCTAGCCCTGGAGGAAGGGGTATAAGGATGGCAAAGCCTGGAGACAAAGGCTAGACAAGACTTTGAGACTGGCTTGCTTTGAGCTGTTCTGAATCTTTGTTTCTATGTTAATAAAGAAAAGCCCAGATCAAAGGAACTGGAACAGTGCACCAATGCAGTTGTTTGGGCTACTATTTCACTCTTCTGGCTGGTGGATCAGCCTGACAACTTACAAGAACATTTACCACTTACAGTAGAACTTCAGAATTACAAACACCTCGGGAATGAAGGTTGTTTGTAACTCTGAAATGTTTGTAACTCTGAACAAAATGTTATGGTTCTTAAAAGTTTACAACTGAACATTGACTTAATACAGCTTTGAAACTTTATTATACAGAAGAAAAATGCTGCTTTTAACCATCTTAATTTAAATGAAACAAGCACAGAAAGTTTCCTTACCTTGTCAAATCCTTTTTTTAAAATTTCCCTTTATTTTTTTTAGTAGCTTACATTTAACACAGTACTGTACTGTATTTGCTTATTTTTTGTCTCTGCTGCTGCCTGATAGTGTACCTCCGGTTCCAAATTAGGTATGTGGTTGACCGATCAGTTCTTAACTCTGAGGTTCTACTGTGCTACACATTCCACTTGTAATGTAACTTCTTCCACCTTTGCATTTCTCATATTCTGGGTCCCTTACCAGTCCCCAGTGTAAGATAGAGCAACCTTAGGGCTGCTCTAATTTATATTCTGCTTCCCATGGGCCCAGAACCAGTGCATTCTAAGCTTACTCTGATTCATCCCCGTTCCTGGGAACTGACATAGAACCCTTTTGCCACTACTACACTGAAAAGGGAAACCCTCTGCACAGGGGCTATTCTGAGGGGGCCTCTTCTGTACACTTTTAATGTCCCTTTACACTGGTGTAAAAGGGCCTTTGCAAAAGTGTGAATCAGACTCTTGAAATCATTGCATTTGAAGGCAGTTTAGCGGCCTGTATGAAATGAGTTGGTAAACTCAGTAGTGTTCCTAAAGGAGAAGTGTGCATATATATTTTTTAAAAGATCACACTTGGCACACTTGTTGACTATCTCAGCAGAGAAGCCAAAGACTGGGCATGGAGAAGAAACTTCCCTCGCTCCTTGATGTGGTCCTCCAGGTCAGAGTTTAGATGCGTTGTTAGGGCAGGATGGAGAAATGTATTGCTGCTGTTTATGCGGTACCTGTTCTGTGGGTAATCACAAGACTTTATTTTCCTGTACCAACAAGTTGGGATGAAATCTACATTCTCTTTAAAATAAAACAAGGTTTGAGGAAAGAAGGTCTTTTATTCAGTCCTAGAATGTTGATTATATGACCTCTGACCTCTGTCGAGGGTCGAAAGCTGGGGCAGTGTCTTAAACAACATGTTGAAGAGTGAGCAATGCCTATTCCGCATGGAGAGGACTGCTTCACTGTTTTAGCCTATAACTATGAGTAGCTTCCTAATCCTCTCTTGTTTGGCTCTGCTTGTTAACCCCAAGCAATCCTCTCAGGAGCACAGAAAGCAGCTGTCTTTGGTAGAAAACACAGCACGACAAAACAAACACTTCTTGAAATTTCCCATAGATACGTACCAGAATGCCTTCTTTGTGGGAAAAATTAAAAACACAAAGAATATAATTTACCATGTTCTAATCTGACTTTAGGAAAGAGAAAAGTCAAATTACAGTGAGATAGATTTCTGTGACATTTATAGCATATAGGAGTAATTTCACCATCAAGAGGCAGGAACACAACAACCTGAAACCTTTGTCTCTGAACCCAGGGGAATGCTACCAGACTTAAAGTACCATGAGTGAGTAGGAGAGAGAACAAAAGTAACTATTTTAAATGGTAAATCAGATTCATATTATTTACGAGAAATATAGCAGAAATTAAATATAGCAAAATGAAATACAAACCAATTAAAAATAAAAATCTCTGTGACCTGATGTCACCTGTTAGGCTCGAGTATTGCAGTGCATATGGTATATGAGATCACCTTTTACTTTGTGACCCCTTGATAGAGGACGTGAGCACAATAGGGATAATTAAGGACACGTAGCAGCTTGAGCTTGTTTTGTTTATCTCAGCCTAAATACTATGGTAACAAGGTTTTTTAATTGATTTCCTTGTTTGTTTTATTAGACTAATCACTTGAACAACCATTATAAAGCTAGTCTCTAGCAATAGCTCCAAATACTGTAGTAGCACTAGTAAAATTTAGTGTTTTGAAACATTACTGTAGAAAACTGTGGTGTTTTTTATAAAAAGGAAACAATTAATTACAACATATGCTCTATAGCTACTTTTTAAACTTTAAATATTTGAATAATATAATTTCACTGAATTCAAATTAACTTTTATTTTTAAATTACAACTTAAAACTAACAGTGTTGTCAGCTATGGGCCAGATTCACAGGCTCACTCTGCTCCCTTTGCACTGCTAAAATGATGCAGTGGAAGCTGCTTGTGTGTTCCTAGCTGGAGATGGCATTGGGGAGTTCCCAGTGGGTCGAGATCCACCATAACTGTCTTTTATTTCTCCATCCTTCTACAGCCCAGTGTAGGGAGTGTGTCAGGGCTGGAAAGTGGTAGAGAGGAGGGTGTGGTTAGAGCACTCAGCATTCCAGGTATCGGCAGCTAGTAAGTCATTGCCAGCTGACATAGGTTAGAGCAGTCCCTGGGCCTAAACAGAATGTAAAGTGATACCTCAGTTTTGGGAGCTTTCTGGGTCAGGCGCAGTGCCAACTAAGATGAACTTTAAGGTTCATCTGGACAACTCACAGGACAAAGGGGCTTTAGCTTTCAGGGGTTCTTGTTTTTCCTCTGGATCAACTAGGAACTTCTATTGAGAGGCTACCCTTGCCCCTGGGGCTAACATGTTGCAGGCTTCTTTTCTTTGCCTCTGGCTTAATCTTTGGTTGATATTGCTATACTGACAAGAACCTCTCTGAATACAGTGGGGGTCAGGAGAAATCTGCTCCCCTGTTTTCCTCCTCTGCCTCTCCTAAAAGAGTTAGAGTATAATAACCACTTGCTTCATTCCTGCAACTGATTATAAATCTTGTTCTGTTTCCATCTCTGGCCAATGTTCATGATATCTTTTCTAGACCAGATGGAGAAGACATGGCATGTGATATTGACCAGTCTTTCCCTACAGATAAGGAAGCTGCATCATCATCCTTTCCTCCTCTTGATAATATTTCATCATCAGTGCCATTTCCTGATGACTACAACCTGTTTCAGGAATTGATAGTTCGAATGAGAAATTATTTGGAACTGGACACTACTATAGTTCAGGAGAAGACACATTGTTTCTTTAATGTCTTGAAGACTGAGGAAAAGATGAAGATTACCTTTCCCATTAATGAAGGCATGTAAAACCCTGCTTGAGATATCTGGTTGACTCTGGCATCTGTGGTCATCAAGAAGATCGATCAGTTATACAGTAACTCCTCACTTAACGTTGTAGTTATGTTCCTGAAAAATGCAACTTTAAATGAAATGATGTTAAGCGAATCCAATTTCCCCATAAGAATTAATGTAAATGAGGGGGTTAGGTTCCAGGGAAATATTTTTCACCAGACAAAAGACTATACATACACACACACACACACACACACACACACACACACACACACACACACACACAGTATAAGTTTTAAACAAACAATTTAATACTGGTACACAGTGATGATGATTGCGAAGCTTGGTTGAGGTGGAGGAGTCAGAGGGTGGGATATTTCCCTTACTGCTAAATGATGAACTGGCAATTGGCTGAGCCCTCGAGGGTTAACTCTCTCTCTACACAAGGCAGCAGGAATGGAGGGAGATATGCGCATTTCCCTTAAGTACACTGCCTTGTTAATTAGATCAGCTTGCTGAGACGCAGCTGCTGCAAGCTCCCTGTCTGTCCCCCCTGCTCTATGGAAGGTGGGGTAAGTGGGGTGCAAGAGCAGGGGTGAGGGGTACACCGTGACATTAGCCCCCCTCTTCCTTCCCTCCCCCCTGCACAGGAAGCAGGAGTCTCGGGGAGCATCTCGAAGGCCGAGGGCAGGAGCAGCACATGGCAGTGGGGGGAGGGACACAGCTGAACTCCAGGCAGCTGCTGTACAGGGAACTTAGGGGGCGGGGAGCTGATTGATAGGGGGCTGCCGGTCCACCCTGGTTCTAAGCCCCCACCAGCTAGCTGCAAGGGGCTGCTCTTCCTGCAAGCAATAGACAAAGCAGGCGGCTGCCAAACGACGTTAGAAGGGAGCATTACACAACTTTAAACGAGCACGTTCCCTAATTGATCAGCAACGTAACAACGAAACAACGTTAACTGGGACGACTTTAAGTGAGGAATTACTGTACCAGGTCCTCCTTCAGCTTTCTTCACTCACCCACCCATCTCGAAGGGCTGTTAAGTACTATGTCATCTGAGAAAGAGGCTCAGAAGAATGATTTCTTAGGCAGAAAGATATACTCCTCGCTTACTCTGGGAATTCAAGTTGCTAATTATCAGCCCATCAGGGCTAGATACCAGAACTTATGGATCTGGATGTTTCTCTTCATGATCTTCTCTTTGAGGAGCAGGGGTAAGTAGTGAAGGGCATTGACCTAACAGGTTCAAATGGTTTCTAGACTTGTTTGATGAACATTTTACAATGTTTTTGAAACCTCTTCAAGGGCGTTTGCTCAGGTGTCACTCTTCAAAGATCTTTCTGGCTTAAATCATCCAGTCTTTCAGCTGGAGTGCCGCCAAGCTAGAAGTTCTCCCCTTAAAAGGAGAGGGTCTTCTCAGTTCTAAAACAGATGATTTGTTTGAAAGATAAAAGAAACCATATATATTGCCAAGTCTCTGGGACTGATTCATTATATTTAGAAGGAGAAGAGCATTATTTCATCTTCTTTCAGATTCCAGAGTCAGTACAGACACTTTCCAGGAGTTCTAGATTCACCAGCAACTGAGAAGATAGGGTAGAGTGAAGTTCATTTCAAAGATGAAGTTCTTTTTCAGCTTTCAGCTCACTCATCTTCTGCATCTGTTCAGCCACAAATTTGACAATTCACCCTGAAACCTAGATCTGTTCTCCACTTCTAGGCTGGGACCATATCTTTGTCTCATTTGTGCAGCATCTAGTACAATGGAGCCCTGATCTTCAGGTGCCCCTACATTAAACCTTTGGAATTGTACAGTTCTTTAGACTCCCACAAGTGGGAATATGCAGAGTTCCCCCTGGAAAAGAAACCAGTGATTACAGTTCTTTGAGAGTGTTGCCTCAGAGTTCTACCCTCACATAGGACTTTGGGATGTAGTACAAGGAACTGAGATGGCGGGGGACTGCATGGCCCTTTTATATATCATTGGCTGCACAATGGGGCACTGATGCAGAACCAGTAGGCACTGCTTCTGTGGAAGATTCTTGTAGCCCACTGGTGCTACGGGCAGGAAAGGTGCAGATGACAAAAATGTAAATATGCATAGACAAAATTTTCAAAGAATACTTGTGAGTAATCTTTATTTTCCAAGACTACAGCTTTGTTTTTAGAATCCTTTTTTAATAAGCAAATTGTAATTCTATTTAGCTCAATTAAGGATCTCCTGGTAATTTAAACAATTGTTTTTTCAATGCACACATCATCTTGTAACAGGTATTGGTAATGTAAGGATGAAAACATTTATATAAGAAGAATAAAAGTCAAGGAAGCAGATAATTGACCAATTTATCAACCTTAGCAGACAATTTTTTCTGATAACATTGTGGCAGCTATGGTAAATTTACTTCTGATTGCTTAAGGGGACAGATCCTATATGGTGTGAACAACACATAACAGCAACCCCTTCAAATGAATGGGTAAAGGATCAGGTAATCAGGCTGTGCAACTTTGGTTCCTAGATCGGCCTTTTGGCTAATGGTGTGTCCATAGGTGCTGGAAATAGGGCTGCTGAGGGTGAAGCAGCACCCTCTGGTTTGAAGTGGTTTCCATCATGTACAGGATTTACAGTTTTGTTCAATGGCTTTCTGCACTCCCACTATAAAAATTGTTCCAGCACTGCTGGGTGTGTCCTTTTGAGGAAAATTTAAAATGATCCTGCTCTGCTCAATTAATAACTCCAGTGCTTTACTGCCTTTTCCAATAGTCTTTAAACCAATTTCAGGCTTTCAATGGCTTTCAGAATTATTGTGATAACTGAAGTGCATTTGGTAGACCTTGATAATAAGTTGCAGTTATGATCAGAGAACTCTTAGCTTCATTGCAAATTGTTTGTGTGCAACAAGGCATGCTTATATACTTTTCTTACTTTTAGTCAGTCCTTTGTGCCATCTGAACTGACACTCACAACTTCCTCTTGTCCACCCTCTTTTTCAACTGGAAGGGTGACTGAAATCTAGTTGTCCTGACGACCCTGGCAGGTTTAAATGAGTGGCTGCACTCAAATAAGTTGCATGCATTGAGGTGCATTGAAGTTTTATTAATCTATAGCCTAAACAAATCACTTTAGTCTTGGCTGCTCTAAATTGCCCAGTACATAGAAGTGTGCTTATGCCTACTTTTGGCTGTAGGACCTGAAGGTGTGGCAAGGATTGCAATACATTTTAGGTGACGGAAGATGCACTTTGTTTCAAGAAGCAGTGAAAACAGCTATTGGTGCACCCATTTATGGAGCATTGGCAGGCCCCATGCAGGCTCTAATTTAGATGAAGTCAGAGACAATTGAAGGCACTGAGAGAATAGGCAGGAGATTCTGGGGAGTAAGATTTTGGTGAAATCAATAGTAGAAATATAGATATTGTGCAAAACAGATTGGACCACCAGTTTTTATCTGATGTGGCTATCCAGTTAAGTCAGGATTAGAAGGCAAGATGTTCTTGCTTTTTTATTAGAATCAGAACTTAGAAGACACATTTTGCATAAATAGTACGTACACTAAACACCCCTCTCCAGTCTCTTCTCAGAAGGTCCATTTCTCGTGAATGGCCACTCCATAAAAACTAAGCTGCATAGGAACTCTCCCTCTTCTTTTGGTGTTTTCCACAGCCTTGACAGGAAGGTAGAATATAGTAACCTTAAGATCGATGCCTTGATCTATCCTGTTGGCAGATACATCCTCCAAAACATGTGTTTGGCTTGGGGAGTGAGCATGACAACTCCACAGCACCATTTACAAAATTGGCTTACGGATTTTTTAAAAACAGGAGGGAAATGTTGCTGGTATTACTTGAGCTGTTCAAGGCAGGGGCCTACCTGTCACCGTTCTTTCCTCTCCAAAAATGTGGATGTTCCATTTTCTGAGCCCTCTGACTCAGATTGCTATATTTAAGTCTTGTCTGGTCTCATGATCATTCCTCCTTTAAATCTCTGAGCTCCTCCCTCCCTCCCTCCAATGCATTGTCCTTCAAGGGATAAAAGAAATCCCTAAGATCAAAGATCATTGTTCCACCCCTTTACCTTCACATATCCTAAGCATGTGGTATGGTTCTTCCCATTTCATCAAATAGAAGTATTCCCCCTAACTAGATTTCACATTCCACAAGCCTTAGATAAAACTGCATGCTGCTTTGCTGGTCGACACTATGGTGATACCTTCACTAAACCCTATTTTCCTCATTTGCTGTGTCTAGGGAGGACAACACACTGATAGCACCAAGGGATCTTGTCTGAACAAATTTGTGGTTATGACTGTCTTTAGTCTAGGGTCTCTGAGGTGGCAGCCCCTTCCTTAGAATCTGGCCATTGTGCAAGGTTCCGATCCATTTGAAAGTGGGCTGCCAGGTAACTGAGTCTGCCATCTGCAGATAGCCAGTATTTGGCCCTCCTGTATTTCTGCTCAAAATGCACCAATCTGGACTTTGGTTCTGTGGCTAATGTGAAACTTTTCAATGTGAACTTCATTAATGAGCAACTAAAGTTCTTTCAGTATCCACAGGGCCAAATTCTTGTTCAAGAATGTCCCAAAACCATTGCAGGTCCCTCAGGGGCAAGCAGGAAGGATCATTCACTTGGCCATCACTTAAAACAATTTGACTCAGAACAGACACTGCGAAGATCTTGTATAGGCTGCGGATGTCAAGATCATATATCTAGGGATCCTTTTGGATACAGAGCCAGCTTTTCCAGACAGCTACCTAGACTGGTGTACGGCTTAATACCCATATTGATGTGCTCTATGGGGGAGCTTAAATGGTCTTTCCCAGACAACTTCTGTTAGCAGCAAGACTCCAGTTTCTCCTCCTTAGATGACAAGGCTTCCTTGTGTGCTAGAGATGGCAGAAGTGTTGAGGTGGCAGCTGACGTTATTTGCGTTTCAGGAAAGCCAGCATCTCTGCCAACCCTGGGATCTGACACTTCCTGATTGGAGCAACTTGTCACTGTACAAAGATGTTC